CCGCCCCAGCCCCAGCCCCAGCTCTGAGGACCACGGGGACTTGGAAAGATTTTGAGCATCAAAGGAAAAGGGGTGGAGGGAAGGGTGATGGATGAGGGCTTGACGGGCAGCGAGGGCAAAGCCAGTGGAGGAACTGTATTTAAAAGGATTTTATGACAGCGATCAGCAAGGAAAGCATCGTTGAGAGGAGATGCCAGCCAGTTTGGGTGGATGTTTCGAAGACCACTGCATTTTCCTCCCCAAACTACATCTCGTTTTGAGGGGCAGGGGGGGATGTTTCACTTGTTTTCATGAAATGAGACAAAGGGCCATCACACAAAACCGGAGAGCACATTTCAGCCTGGGTAGGAGGAACACTTCCCTGTGCCATCCCACGCTCAGCAGCCTTCAAGAACAGTGATGCATTTAAGTAAAATACCAGGCAAATTGTATCGGCGGGTTAGAGTGTTACAAGGAATAAAAGCCGGCAGGCGTCAGCCCGTGCCAGGCGCTGACCGAGGCGAGGGGAAGGGGAAGCCCTGGGTGCGCGGCTGCCAGGCGCTTGGGGCATCTCCCCGTCCCAGCGACGGTCTGACCCGAGACCCCACCAGCATCCCGGGGGTCACAGCTTCATCTCGGTGTACTCGATGGTCTTGGATGCCACGGGGCTGGAGCAGGGCCAGAAATCCACTTTCCTCTTCTTCGGGTCCACGTTGACATAGTCCGCTCGAGCCTTCATGTTCTCGTAGTCCCCGGTGGAGCCCGGCCTGCGGCCTTTCCCCGGGAAGACCAGGGACGTGTAATTGAGGTTTTCTTCTGAGCAAGGGCCCTGCAAAAGCCGACACGAACCCCAGGTCAGGCACCGGCACCCACCCGGGGTGGCTTTGCCCTGGAACCCACACGAAGGCGTGCAGCCCTTCAAGGGTACCCGGGTTGTGCCCAGGGATCTCCCTGGCCCCTGGGGATGCGTCCCTCAAAACGGGGAACGCTGCGTACGGCCGGTGACAGCCACCACCCCAGCCTCGCTGCCGGTGTTTCAATGGGGTGCCTTTGCCCCCCGGTTGC